GGTATTTAACTAATTATAGGAGAAGCCATCAAAGGAAGGTCCAATCACTATGTAACACGTGTCGAGGAGCGTACCACATGACACATGTCATTTGAAGGCGGAGAGTCTGCTACTGTTGCTTCTTCTGCTACTACCACTACCACGACCACCATGACCACGACCACTACCACCATCACCAGCAGCACCAACAACACCACCACCACCACCATTTTTATTTTATACTTTTTAATTATCAATTATTAATGGTTCTGTGCATTTAGTTGTTATGGGAACTACGAACATAACTTACCCGTTAGCAATAACTACGAACCGAATTATTAACAATTCCAACTAATATATCTTTTTATTAGTAACTGAACCGTTAACAACTAATACATCTTTTTATTAGGAATCAAATCGAACTGGGTTATAGGAGTTCGGTTCCAGCCGGTTTTATAATTCTTGATTCCAAAATCCCACTCCTAATAATAAAACTATTGGATAAAAGATATTAGTGAAATGTGATATATTTGTTTAATACTCCCTCATCCCATAAAGTATTTCCAGGTTTGAGTTAGATCGAAATTTAAGAAAATGAAAATAAAGTGGAAATGTATGATTGTGATTGAGTAAAAAATGAATATTATTCACACAACACTTTCCATAAAAGAATTTGGAAGATCGCTTTTGGACTTTCCAATATGACACTCCCTCCGTCTCTGATAGAACTTGACGTTTGCTTCTAGCACGGTATTTTAGGAGCTCAATTAATAAAAGAACAAATATCTTGTATGCCCTTTGACTTTTGGGGGAATTAATGCTATCCACTCAAATGTAAAAAGTATGTGAGTAGTGAATGATAGTTAGGACATTTAATGTAAAAGAAGTTGCCTAAAAAGGAACCGTAAAGTAGTAAATGAGACACAAAAAAGAAAGTGTAAAGATTTAAGGAGAATAAAGGGAGTAAGTGAGAACAACTTTTATGGGACAGGGGGAATCTATATCTATATAATATAATAAAGCTAACCCTTAGCACAACTCTATGGGAAATAATGACATGTGGCAAAACCTCAAGGAAGCTTGACATGTGGCAAGTCTATGAACAATTGACATTTGTTAGACATCTTTAGCATTTGTCCGCACCATAAGAGTATAGAGTTGATATCCTTTGCACTCTACATAGCAAGCAGTTGCTTCATGAATATCAAAAGACACTATAAATACCCATACATCCCACATTTAAAATTAGAGCTACAATAGGTCCAATACGTGAGTGCAATTTTATTTAATTTTCAGTTTGTTGAGCAATTGTTTGAGTTTCTACACCCTAATAATAAAGAAAAGACAAAACTTCATTTATTTCTCTTTTGTGATTAGTATCGGAGCTAAAAAATCATCATAAGAAGAGTATAAAAAATCATCATACCAAACTAATTCACACCAGAACAAAACATATGTATCTCACTATCATTTAAGATCAAGCAAAACCTAAATACGTCTAATCTAATTGCACAAAACATAACAAATCAGATATCAATTTTTCATTCCAAAAAATTCAATAACAAATAATACAACACAGTTACCTACTATTTATCATTATTAAGCCATTAGACAAAATAAAAAATAAACAATTACACGGCCACACGGTCTCACACGGTCTTATACTCGCAAATAATTTCACTATTATTTGTATTACATCATTCGATGGATTTATTATACGCTAAAAAGTAGTTCAATCATCATATTAAAAACCACTATGTTTGATAACCCATACTTTCACTTTATCAGTCAATTCATTCAGTTCGTTTGCTGAATTAAATAATAATAAAAATAAGGAATTTTATCAATCTAAGGTCCGAAACTCTTTTAGTTTGTTTGCTGAACTGAATAATAATAAAAATAAAGAAATTTATCAATATAAGACTTAAAAGAAAAAAATCACTTTGGGAGGTGAAAGATGACATGTGTTTGTATAGGACCTGAATAATTGAAAACTATTAATCAAACGTCTAAAATTCTTTGGGTTTTGATTTATTTCATTTTTTATTAATTCCTTTGGTACTTTTTGATGACTTTTTCTTCACAAAAGTTTATTAAGTTAGTAAAACTAAATAATACATAAAATTTTTAAATAAAAAAAATCATTACGAATTTCCACCACTTCCAATGGAGCCAGAGACTCACTATTTTTGCCTTGGGAATGTGATGCAAAAAAGAAAAACAGCTCACTAAATTATCCGTGTTTCTTTGTTATGAAGCAGAAATCAGATCAATTCATGCAATTTTCAATGCAAAGTTCATCATTGGTCATCCTAAAATAGTTTCTTTATGCCTTAATACAGGGGTAAGGCTGCGTAGATTTGACCCCCCTTTACCCCATCGTAAAGGGCCTTTTGTGGCATTGTGCTAATGTTGTTGTTGCTGTATTGATAGTTTTCAATCATTTGTGCCCTTTATTGACACATTCCTTCTTTCAGGTCACGTATGGATAATTTATCTAACTTTTAGGTTTTGGATTGATAAAATTCCTAAAAACCAATAAATAAGGGTGAAGTTTTTTTTTGAAGGAAAATAAGGTTGTAGTTACTCTTATGCTTGAATTGAGTGAATTATTTTAACAATAAAGTACATTTAAAATATAATTTTTCACAATTCAGCATATTCAACCGATTATGTCAATCGCTTAACCGATTCTGTCAAGTTTAGTATTATCAAACAGACTCGCTCATATATCTAATATTCACATCCATCCTTTTTCACCTATTTCTACCACACATACATGCAAATAAAATTACAGCGCCGGCCAGATTTAAAAACCTTCCACACCTTCTCCACCAACCTGTAATTTCAGTTCAAAACCTTCAAATTCCAGCGACCATAACTTCGAAACATACTTGTGATGGTTCAGAACTGTTAGCTTCAAAATCCAGTGAAAAGAGTTGTCTGGCATTCCATTTGATTTGTCTGTAATGTGAAAATAGTTGTATGTCTGGTGAAATTGTGAAGTACTTGTGTATAATTAGACTACTCTGTGATGATATTGAGATGTCTGTCATGGTATTTTGAATATTATGTAATTGGTTTGGAGTTGTCTGTCAATTTATTTTGAATTATTTAAAATTGGTTTATAGTTGTCTATCATGTGAAAGTAGTTGTCTGACAAGGCATATTAGTTGTCTGGTACGTTAAATCCAATGGTTTAAAATTGGTTTGTAGTTGTTTGTCATGTGAAAGTAGTTGTCTGGCAAGACATTTGAATTGTCTTTCAGTTTATTTTAAATTGTAAAAAATAGTTTTGTAGTTGTCTGTCAGGTAAAATTAGTTCTCAGGCAACCCATTTGAATTGTCTTGCACGTCATCTGGAATTCATTAAAGGAAAAAGGTGCAAATAGGCCCATGTACTAATCAAAAAAGGTCAAATAAGCCCTTATTTAGGAGGCTCTGTACGGTCATCGTCATTTGGGGTGGTTCCCAGTGGAATTTTTTGATCACATTTTTTGAGCATCTTATTCATCAAGTCTAGTTTACTCATACCAAATTTCAGCTAAAAATGCATTGGGGAAGGCATTCAAATGAATTCTTGAAAATAACTGCGCAGTTAGAATCGCAGTTATCTTAAAGAATTCATTTGAATGTCTTCCCGATTGAAGTTTTAGCTGAAATTTGGTATGAGTAAACTAGACTTGATGACTAAGATGCTCAAAAAAGTTAATCAAAAAAATCCACCAGGAACCACTCCAAATGACGACGGCCGGACAGATCCTCCTAAATAAGGGCTTATTTGACCTTTTTTGGTTAGTACATGGGCCTATTTGCACCTTTTTCCTTCATTAAAATTGGGTTGTAGTTTTCTGTCATGTGAATTGACTTCTCTACCAATGTATTGCAACAAATTGTCTGTAATGAGATATAAAATGTCTGACCTTTCTTCTGAGTTGTCTGTCTACAAGTCGGGAGAATGTGGCCCAACCTACTAATGTCTGGCCAAGACAAAATCTGTTTGGCTATACGACAAAGAGTGCTTAATTAGCCCACACTACTAATGTCTGGCCAAGACAAAATTTGTCTGACTGTAGAACAGAGAGTAGTTAATTGTCCCAGACTACTAATGTCTGACCAAGACAAAATTTGTCTGGCTGTAGGACAGAGAGTAGTTAATTGTCTCAGACTACTAATGTCTGGCCAAGACAAAATTTGTCTAGTTGTAAGACAGAGAGACTACATATGTAATTCATTCACCACATTTGTCTTCACATTACCAATACAACCATGTTTCAAAAAAGGCACACACATTTATATAAAAACTACATTATCAATACAACCATGTTTCCAAACAAAATCACATACATTTAAAGTTGTCTGACCACACACACATTTTATGTACGACTCTAACAACTATAAAATCACGTTTACTTTAAACAACTATGAAACCACGTTCACTTTATGCTAGACAGACACTGCAGTTCCAAATTGTCTGTTCGCCAAACAAAATAAAAACAAATGACGAAAAATAACTTACACTTCTCCTAGACTAACAAATTGTCTGTCAGGGAAGACAACATTTTTTTTCGAAAGCACACCAAAAAATCAAGAAAAAAATCAAGAAAAGTAGATCTGTTCAAGTCATTCGAAGCTTCTTGATCTGCACTTTCGTCGTTGTCTCCCCACGTCACCGAGCTTCTCCCCTTCGTCCGATTATTGTAGGTCTTCCATTTGAAACGAAAAAAAGGCAGAAGAGGAGAGAAGCAAGAGAAGAAGTTTAGAGGGAGAAAAGATTGTAAAAATGAGAAGACTTAATGAGAAGAGATCTTGAAATGGAGAAGAAATCAAGTTTTGGAGAAAAGAAAAAGAAAGAGGAGGGGATGAGGGGGGTTGCGTGAAAAGAAAAGATGGAGGAGAGAGAGAGGGAAGGAGAAGAAAAGTGGGGGAAGGGGGAAGGGTTTTTGGAAAGAGAGTAAAAAGAATGGTAAAAAAGGAGGTATTTATATGAGTAGGAAATGGGATAAGTAGGGGTACCTATAGCAAAATTGATTCATACAAATAGAAGAAAAGCATAAAAGGAAAGAAAGTCCATATCATCAATCGGAGGCCGAAATAGTGGTGGGACTCCGTTCTCCCAGCAGGTCGTCCATATCATCAATCGGAGGCCGAAATAGTGGTGGGACTCCGTTCTCCCAGCAGGTCGTCCATAGGCCGAATCGGATTTGTAACAGAGGATGTGTTACGGCGGTCAACGATTCCTGTCGAAGGACGAGTTTTCCGGCCACACGCGAGCTCGAGCAGCCACAGCTGCGGTGAATGAAAACGCGGTAGTGGTGGACAATCTCCGGGACCGGTTGGCAGAGACGGAGGCTCGGCTTGAGCGAGCCAGAGCTAGGGAAGCTGACCTCAGCCAGAAACTCGAGGAAATGAAGCGTTTCGTCTGCGTCATGGAGATCCTTGAGAATTACCTCAAGCGCCGATACCAAGAACAGCAAGACCAGTTCGTTCGCCTCTACCCGTCTTCTGTGCCCTCATGCTAGCATTAAAACCGAATTTTAAATTCTGATATAAGCCTTGCAGTATAGAATTAATAAAAGGGTTCGTTCTTTCCTTATATGTTGTTTCTTTTATTCTCTCTTGTTTCGGGTTATTCATAGATCCTGCCTTCTGTCGTGGGAAATGTGTATGAATAGCAATTATGTGTGTTTTGAGTATTCTCTTGCATATAGGCTGCATCTTATATCAAATATTTATGTGTATTTGGCTATAGTTCTGCTGCTGTAAGAAGTGAAAAGGAACCAATGAAGTATATACTCTGATCCTTGGGGAAGACATGGCATTGAATTCACTATTGTTAAGAGCTTTTTTTACATTGAGTGTAGAACATGGAACAAACTTTCCATGCATCCGTTTCAGAGTTCTTGAGTTATCTATTAGGGTTGATTTGTTTGAATCGACCATCAATGAAAGTACACAATGAGCCTCAAGTGTTTCATGACTTCAGCTTACAGATAGTACTTGTGCTTTTGGATAGAGCCATAGTATTGAGCTCAAGATAGGAAGTTGCCATTTAGATATTCTCAATCCAATACGTATGTAAGTGAGACGGACTGACTAATGACGATGATGATTTCATGCTTTTTATGTAATTGCTATGCTGTGTCATCTATTATTTTCTTTGGGTTTGTTTGGGCGAGGAAAATCAAACAGGGGTTTGTAATTTTATGCATGGAATTATAGCCCAATGTCGAGCCTAGTTCATATGTGAGATAACTATTCGCTGATTGAGATCCACATTTGATTTGCTTGAATGAAGAAAGAAGTTCTATTATCTTATCGTATGCAGCTCATGAACAGTCGATAGATTGTTATGATGAATGTAGAAAGGCATGTAATTCTGAATAATCTCTTTTTACAACAAAAGGTGCAATGTTTATGAACAAAAGGTGCAGTGTATATGCAGGTCTCACCTAGGAGATAGTCCAAGTAAAAAAAGTTTATCAGTTTATGCTTATGCTATAAAACAGCTTCAGGGCTCCACTGAAAGCCATGTGACTGATGTTGAGTTGATGACAATCTATTGAATTGCAACACATAATATGCAAAAGTTTTGGTTCCCAAATTTAAAGAGACTTATCCAGGGTCAACCAATATATCTTACAGAGTTCAGCTCATTATATGCAAAAGTTTTGCTTCATTATTAGAAGCATATCTAAGAAAAAGTCATGAACTTGCTACGGAGCAGGGTTGGCTTGTGTTTTCAGTATACTTATATTGGCGCGAAAGTGACTTGATGCAGTTTTGAATTGCATTCTAATGTCTTGTGTACAATATTCACATGTTTCTAAACAAGACTGATCAATCTTTTGAAGCGGAAGATAATTTGCATTTCACCCTGATGAATGTATATGACTTGCAGATGATGCAGACACAAGTGCTAACTTGATGTCTTGATTTGCATGTATAGCTCAATTGGGCAAATTATAAGGTACACCCGGGTGTACATGTACACCCGGTATTTTTGTAATTATTTGCAAGATGCAAATTATTAATTACGAAGCTAAGTAGGGGTGGGCAAATGGATCATGTACCCGCGGTTCGGGTCGGGTAATACCGAATCAGGTTGGGTTAGGGTCGGGTTGTATTTTTAAAAAATCATAACGGGGTGGGGCGGGTCGGCCGTCGGGGCTTCTTAATTTTCGGGTCCGGGCGGTTCCTATATTTCTGAAAAATGGGTACCCGCCCCGGACCGGTTTTTTTAAATAAAAAATCATATTTTTATATATCTAATTAATATACTAAAAATTAACTCCTCTGCTAAAGACTTTGCCTTTCACGCTCCCTGACGGCCAGACCTAACGCAGTAAGCCAGTAACGCCTAAGCCCCTGGACGAAGACGGAACTCACGGAAGTGCGAACTCAGAGACGGAGCTTGGTTGTCGACGCTCGACGCAGAGGCTAGTGACGGCCATCATATTCACTATTCAGTCGACGAAGCTAGGCCGTCGGCGGTCGGTCGTCGCCTCTCAGCTACAAACGAATTTCAGGCTTCAATTTCAGGTTTTTAAAACTATTAATCCAATTATTTCAGTTGTTTTTTCTCAACATATTCAATCAAATTCTTTGATTTTGATTATATGTAGTTATGAACCACTTAAATTCATTGGTTTTATTATAAGGAGTTAAAATTTTAGTTCGAAATTTTATTTTTTGAGACTGAATTTTTCTTCAATTACAGTTTGATAATTGATAATTGGTAGTTTGATACTTTGAGACTGAACCACTGCAATTATAGTTAGATACTTTGAACTTTTGAAGTTTGTTTAGAGTGAGCAGTTTGATTTCTTCACGGTTTGGGGCTTTGGGCAGTATGTTTGATCCAAGTATCAAACTGCAAAGTGAAAACACTTTAATTGTGTACAAAACTACAAATAATTCCCATAAATGACAGTACTCTTTTGGATCAAGCAATACTTATAGAGTTATAGGTTAACATATTATTGGTTGGCTGGGTTTTTAATTTTTAATTTTATCAAGCTGCTTCTGGGTATATGTTTATTAATTGGTTTCATCTTGTTAATAACTTTTGACATGAGAGGAACAAAAAACTTGAGAAGTAGCGCCGATTTTGAAGTATTGATGTGAAATCCAATATCAGTTCTCTTTAATAAAGATTTGTTGCTTATTATGGAGAAAATATCATAATCAAACTATACCTTGCTGCAAACATTGCTAGATGTTTGTAATTCTGTATGGTGCTCGTGTGTCAGTGTGGCACCTAGCATGTTTGAAAATCTGGGCATCTGTCGAGCTTGTTGGGGCTTTATGGCACACTCCAAAACTGGACTAATAATATTCAAATTATTATACTTTATTTTCTTATTGATTGTTTCTTTTTGTTTGCAGATTCAGTGAGGAATATTTGCTGAGAGTACTGGCAGCAAACTTGGAACCATATTTCTTTTTTATTTTTTGAAGATCACAAACAGTTTATTTTTTAAACTTGGAACTGCGTTTCTTTTTTATTATATTGATTGAAGACCACCGGTGGTTTCTATTTGGAACTTCGAAGTTCAAACTGTGTTTATGCTTTACTTTAAACGGGAAATTGTGTAAACTTGGAGGTTGGAACTTTAAGTTGCTGTTTTATTTGTTATTGGCATGCATTTTATAAATCCTCCTCCAGTTATGAAACTGGTTGAGATAACCAGGGGTGCTTATACATCAGATGACATATGATGTAACATTGTAACTAGGTGCAACAAAAGAAGACATTGATACATGGAGTCATGGATGAAACTCGGGACTAACCATCCAATGGGTCCTCTGGAACTAGTGAATAGTAATATGTTATCATTTATTTAATCTTTAATTTGGTTTTTGCATGTGATTCAACAGAATGTTTAATCTAATTGCAAAAAAATGACTAATACCCGAAACCCGGACCGACCCGACCCGTTTCAAATGGGGCGGGTAAGGTTCGGTTCCTATTATTAGAATTCATGTACCCGCCCCGAACCTATCCGGTCAATGGAACTGAATGGTTCCTAATTTTTTTAAGATTACCCGACCCGACCCGTGCCCACCCCTAGAGCCAATTATTTGTTTCCTTCGTTTTTCTCTTCGCCTGACGCACTCTCTTCCAGCTTTCTCTTCGTCTCGATTTTTCTTTTTCTTTTTATGCTTCTGTTTTTCCTTTTCTTTTCTCTTAATTTTGAGCTTTAATTTTTGTAACATTGACTTTTCTTTTGCCAAAAAACGCATTATTTTTTTCTTTTCTTTGTTCTGCTTCCGTTTTTCTTTTTTCTTTTTCCTTTAATTTTTAACTTTAACTTTTCTATCTTTGGTTTTTCTTTTTCTTTTTCTGCTTCCTTTTTTTACTTTTATATATACCTTTTGTCTTCTGCTCCTCTAATTTTTAATTTCTATTTCTTTTTTATTTTTATGTAAATTTTCTACAAGAATTTTTTCATGCAATTCTTTCAAAAATTCATATCAAATTGCAATTCAATAAAAAAATATACTTTTCTCACTCTTCTATTAAAACGTCCAACTTTCTAAATAATTAAGAGTATACTATTTAAATTAAATGTACATTGATATCCAAAGAAAAATAAGCACAATAAAATTTGTTGGTGTGAAATAAGAAATTGATGCTTCTTTATGTTATAGTGATATGAGCATACACAAATTGATATTTGAGCATAGTAGAGATTTTCAATGTGCTTTTTAAATATTCCGATACTCATTTCGTAAGTTATATATGTCCATTTATTATTGGTGTAATGCTCATTTTAAAATGAGCATTACACAACACATTTTAAAATATCATATCCATGCATATTGGTGTAATACTCATTTTAAGTTTTTCTATGTCCATTTCATAGGTTGTGTATTCTCATTTAATGTTTGAGCCACTGGAGATTTTAAAGAAGTTTTTGAATTTTTTGATGCTCTTTTCGTAAGTATGTATGCCCATTTGATATTGGTGCAATGTTCATTTTGTAAGTTACACATGCTCATTTGGTATTGATGGTATGCTCATTTTTAAAATTTTATATCAATGTATATTACAAATGTATCATATTACGTTAGATTTGCATATTGAAATTCATAAGATTGGGTAAATATATAATTTAATACGTTTTTATAAAATATAAAATAAGAGATAGCAAATGAATTAGAAAATATGAAGTAGATATCACGATGCTCATTTTTTAATTTTTGGATACTCATTTTGTAAGTTATGTATGTTCATTTAGTACATGTGTTATGCTCATCTTAAAATGTTATATCAATGCACATCTCAAAAGTCTCATATTATATTAGATTCACATAGGAGTTGATTATAAACACGAGACCACAAATTATGATACCCAATCACATATTCTAATACTCAATAACGGAGGTCTGATGCTCTCTAAAAATGTTTTGATGCTCAACGAACAAAACTTACAATTTTCATATCAATGCTCATCTTGTAAGTTACATATGCTCATTTGTATAAGTCTCATGCTCATTAAAAGTTCATTAATGCGCATTTCACAGAAGCCGTGATTTTCATCTCAATAGAAGATGTTTGATGCTCAATGAAAATGTCGTTATGTTAGCCTAACAAACCTTACGATTTTTCACATCAATGAAGATTTTATAAGTTACACATGCTCATTTGGTACTGATGTTATGCCCATTTTAAAATGTCATATCAATGCATATTTCAAACGTATCATATATTACATTAAATTCACATATTGAAATTCATAAGAGTGTATTATAGATATAATTTAATAAGTTTTTATAAAAGAAAAATATTGAATTAGAAGATATGAAGCAGAGATCGTGATGCTCATTGTTAGACTCCTAATACTCAATAGAATGGGTCAAATGCTCACTAAAATTAGATTAATGCTCATTTAGCGAAAGTCGTGGTTTTTCGCTTAAATTACAAAAATGCCACCGAAAAAATTAGGCTATATTAGTTAAATGGAATGTCTTTCTTAGTTGGGCCGGGTGTACGTACACTCGGATGTATGATATAGGAACTCACTTAATTGTGGCAACAGAACATCACGATAACAAGTTTTTTCCTTATTTGCTTGCGGACACACAGAAGTCTAGGCTGCGCAGTGCAGTGCAGTGCAGGGTGTTTGTCAGCTCGGTTTTGTGGCGGTTTTACTTTTTGTGGGTTTTGGATATGGAGTACCAAAAACCGAACCAAATAGAATTCGGTTGGTCGGCTTGGTCAGTCAGTTTTTTTGTCTACATTGATGACCAAGGTTAAAAGACTAAAGTGACACACATTACTGTATTTTCAAGAGCTAGTAAGTTATAAATACGCCAAAAAACCTAACAAATATAGTACATGGGCGA